TAAAAAGTGGAGCACTGGGAAAACCAAAAAGGAATGGAAACCACTCTCACCCCAAAAACAATTTAATATGGGATTCAGAGGGCAATGAATAAAATGGATACCCAGTTCCAGACTCCAAAAATACGAAGATAAATGACACTAAGGAACCTAGAGATGCCTACAAAAACATTCTCAAAGAAGAAATCCTGCAAGTAATCACTGAGAATTTCATGGAGAAGATACTAGACATGGTTAACCAAAATGTACAAGATACACTCAACAAATTTCAAAACACCAAAAATAAAGAATATGAAAAGACACAGAAACAAATAAGTGAACTCATAGGAGCCCTAAATGAACACCAAAGTGAAACAGAGAACACTATAAATAGAGAAATAAATTAATTAAATTTTAAAATGAAAATAGAAAATATTAAAGAGAAAGTGACCCATGATATGGAAAATGTCAGAAAAAAGAATGAAACAGAAACACAAAACACAGTGGAAGGCCACTAGAGCATACTAGAACAAATGGTAGGTAGAATCTCAGAACTCGAAGATAAAATAAAAATTAAAGGAAAAACTGAAGAACTGTTAGTCCAACAACTTAACACCTGCAAAAGGAAAATGCAAGAACTCACTGACTCTATCAAAAGACCAAACCTGAGAATCATGGGCATTGAAGAAGGAGAGGAGGTCCAAGCAAAAGGGATTTGTAATATATTCAATAAAATAATAACAGAAAATTTTCCAAATCTAGAAAAAGTTATGCCCATTCAGGTACAGGAAGCCTCCAGGATGCCAAACAGACTTGACCAAAATAAAATTTCTCCACCACATATTATCATTAAAAAGACAAGCACAGAGAATAGAGAAAGAATATTGAAGGCTGTAAGAGAGAAAAAACAAATAACATATAAATGTAAGCCCATCAAAATCACAGCACACTTCTCAGCAGAAACATTAAAAGCAAGAAGGGCATGGAGTGAGGTATTCTGGGCTCTGAATGAAAATAACTTCAACCCTAGGATACTCTACCCAGCAAAACTATCATACAAAATAGATGGGTCAATAAAAGTCTTCCATGATAAGCAGAAACTAAAACAATATATGACTACCAAACCACCTTTACAAAAGATTCTCCAAGGAATTCTGCACACAGAAAATGAAAGCAAACAAAACCATGAGAGGACAGGCAGTACCAAACAACAGGAGAAAAAAGACAAGGAATAAGACAGTAACATTAATTCAGCTGCACACAATCAAACCTTTAAACAACAAAAACAACTAAATGACAGGAATCACCATATACTTATCAATATTAACACTGAATGCCAACGGATTCAACTCCCCCATCAAAAGACACCATTTGGCAAACTGGATTAAAAAGGAAGATCCAACAATCTGTCATTTACAGGAGACCCATCTCATTGACAGAAACAAACAGTGGCTGAGGGTGAAAGGCTGGAAGATTTACCAAGCCAATAGCCCCCCAAAACAGGCAGGAGTAGCAATAGTTATCTCAGACAAAGTAGACTTCAAACTTTCATTGATCAATCAAGATAAAGAAGGACACTACATACTAATAAAAGGGAAAATACACCAAAAGGAAATAACAATTATGCACCCAATCTCAGTGCACCCAATTTCATCAAACATACTTTAAAGGACTTAAAAGCATATAGAGACTCCAACACAGTGGTAGGGGGAGACTTTAATGCCCCCCATCACCAATATATAGGTCATCCAAACAAAAAATCAATAAACAAATTCCAGAACTAAATCACATCATAGATCAAATGGACCTAGCTGATTTCTAAAGAATATTTCATTCAACTTCTGCACAATACACATTCTTCTCAGCAGCCCATGGAACTTTCTCCAAAATTGATCATATCTTAGGGCACAAAGCAAGCCTCAGCAAAAATAAGAGAAATAATCCCCTGAATTCTACCTAATCACAATGCATTAAAACTAGAACTCAACAACAAAAACAACAGCAGAAAATATGCAAACAGTTGGAAGCTGAACAACACATTGCTCAATGATCAGTGGGTCATAGATGAAATAAAAGAGGAAATTAAAAGGTTCCTGGAAGTTAATGAAAACAAAAACATGACCTACCAGAACCTATGGTACACAGCAAAGGCAGTCCTAAGAGGAAAGTTTATAGCCATGAGTGCATATATTAAAAGGACAGAAAGATCTCAAATCAATGACCTAATTGACCTACATCTCAAACTCCTAGAAAAATAAGAACAAGCAAAACCCAAAACAAGCGGGAGAGAAATAATAATAAAAAAATGGACTGGAATTAATGAAATAGAGATCAAAAAACCATACAAAGAATCAACAAAAAAACCCAAAAAGCTGGTTCTTTAAAAAAACTAAACAAAATTGACAGACCTCTGGCAAATCTGACTAAAATGAGAGAAAAACCTAAATTAGTAAAATAAGAAACACAAAAGGGGAGGTAACAAACAAACACCACAGAAATTCAGGGACTCCTCAGAGACTACTCTGAGAACCTATATTCCAATAAATTTGAAAATTTTGAAGAAATGGACAAATTTCTAGATACTTATGACCATCCAAAACTGAACCAAGAGGATATTAACCACCTAAATAGATCTATAACATGAAATGAAATTGAAGCAGGAATAAAGAGTCTCCCAAAAAAGAAAAGTCCAGAACCTGATGGATTCTCTGCTGAATTCCATCAGACCTTTAAAGGAGAACTAATACCAACTCTCCTTAAACTTTTCCACAAAATAGAAAGGGAAGGAACACTGCCTAACTCATTCTATGAAGCCAGTATTACACTCATCCCAAAACCAGACAAAGACACATCGAAAAAGGAGAACTACAGGCCAATCTCCTTAATGAACATCAATGCAGAAATCCTCAATAAAACAATGGCAAACCAAATCCAACCACATATCAGAAAGATCATTCACCATGACAAAGTTGGCTTCATCCCAGGGATTCAGGGGTGGTCAACATACAGAAATCCATAAATGTAATACAGCACAGTAATAGAAGCAAAGACAAAAACCACTTGATCATCTCAATAGATGCAGACAAAGCCTTCGACAAGATCCAACACCACTTTATGATAAAAGCTCTAAAAAGACTAGGAATAGCTGTAATCCTAGCTACTCAGAAGGCAGAAATCAGGAGGATCACAGTTCAAAGCCAGCCTGGGCAAATAGTTCATGAGATTCTATTCAAAAATATCCAAAACACACACACAAGAAGTTCTGACCAGGTGGTTCAAGTGGCAGAGCAAGTTGCTTAACAAATGTATGTACCTGAGTTCAAATCCCAGTAACACACACACAAAAAAAAGATCATCCAGGCAGAAAAAACAACAAAGAAACTTTAGAGATAGACTCCACTAAAGATAAAATGAATTTAACAGCATCTACAGAATATTCCAACAAAGAACTGAGAGACAGCATGATAAAATAAGTACAGTGAAACACAAATCAATAATTTAAAAAAAGATACAGAAAGGAAAAAAAACCTCAACAGTCAATATTATTTCCTTGCTGAGGAGAACAGAATGGGTTTTTGCCCCCAAGGATGCTTATTAGTATATGGGACAGCTATTTTTCTCTATGAAGTTTAAGGAAGTTATATGGTACTATGAGCCACATCAAGCCCTGCCTTACCTACTGGGCTGGATTCCTGTTATTGTCTTTTCCTATACAGACTTGCTGATGTGGGGAGTTCAAGAGCCACCCTCATGGGAATGCAAGCTAGTACAACCACTCTGGAAAACAATATGGAGGCTTCTTTAAAAACTAAACATATATCTGCCATATGATCCAGCAATCCCACTCCTGGGGATATACCCAAAGGAATGCAACTCAGGTTACTCCATAGGCACCTGCACACCCATGTTTATTGCAGCGCTATTCACAATAGCCAAGTTATGGAAACAGCCAAGATGCCCCACTACTGACGAATGGACTAAGAGAATGTAGTATTTATACACAATGGAATTTTACTCAGCCATGAAGAAGAATGAAATCTTGTCATTTGTAAGTAAATGGATGGAACTGGAGAACATCATCTTAAGGGAAGTTAGCCAGGCTCAGAAAGCCAAAAATCGTATGTTCTCCCCCATATGCAGACTTTAGATCTAAAACAAATACAGTAATATTAGACATGGGTCACATGCTAAGGGGAGGACACATACAGGAGGAATAGGGAAAGGTAGGAAACCCAAAACTTGAAAGTGTTTGATGTCCCCACTGCAGAGGAGCTAGTACAGTAACCTTAAAGCGACAGAGGTCAATATGGGAAGGTGACTGGGAAGTAGTGAAGAGGTCTGGTAGAGAAGAAACAATTCATGTAATACACATGTCATGGAAGCAATGTTAGAATCTCTCTGTATAGCTATCCTTATATCTCAACTAGCAAAAATGCTTTGTCTTTCTTGTTATTGCTTATGTCTTCTCTTCAACAAAATTGGAGAAGAGGGCAGAACAGGTTCTGCCTGGAAGTGAAGGGGAGGTGGGGCGGAGAGGGAGGGGTTGAGGGGGAAATGGCACAATGTATGTACATGTGAATAAATGAATAAATAAAAAAATAAGAAGAAAAAAAGAGTGGAAAGATAGTAAAGGTGTTCTTTTGTAAACTCTCAGGCTAGTGGTGTTCTACAAAGCCAATATGAGTTACAAACAGATACTGATGCCAATCGGGTTCTTGGACAGGAGGCTGGAACCACTGGTGAGCAGCAAACAAAGTTTGAGCTCAGCAGGAGACTCTGGGATTCCCCTCAGAATCAGAGAGAGTGACAAGGTGACTCCAAGCAGACACTTGTGTCTTATGGGTGTTTCCTTTGCAGGGCTATGTGTTGGTCAAACAGACATAAGTGGAGATGGTGTGTGACTCTTCAGTCAAACTGTCCTTGAACCTACACTCCACATGTCTCCTTTCCCTCCCCTTTCCTCAAATGGGTTTCCTGGGAGCAGGTGAGTGTCAGATCCAGCCCTGATCTCTGCTTACTTCCAGGACCTCTTCCCAAGCCCAGCCTCAGTGCCTGGCCGAGCTCAGTGGTTCCTCCTGGGAGCAATGTGACATTGAAATGCAAGAGTCCTATTCCAGGTGTATCCTTTGTTCTCAGAAAGAAAGGGTGTGTTTTGGATCCCATGCTGCCATATTATGTGGTGGAAAGAAAAGCTGTGTTTTATCTCACTGACATACAACACAGTAATAGTGGACACTACACCTGTGAATACTCCAATAAAGCGTCCCCTAATGTGACATCACAGCCCAGCGACGACCTTCTTCTGTTGGTCACAGGTGAGGAGAGGCTGTCTCACTTCAGAATGACTTATGGTGATCCTCAGACAGGGGTGAGGGAGGGACCTGAGGAACAGAAAGAGGAAAAAATAGGGTCTCATCTCCAGAGCAGTTGATGAGGGGATGGGGTGATAGGGACAGAAATGGGTACCTTGGTTTATCCACACTTGTAGGAGAGAAAAATCTCCATCCTGGAGTTAGAATATAAAGAGGGAAATATCAGGCATGATGGGACCTCCTTGTCAGGGGAACAAGGGAGAGCAGGGGGATTTATGCATACCCTCCCTTGACCTCAGAGCCTCCTCTCTTACAGGTGCTTTATCCCAACCTTCCCTCCAAGCCTACCAATGGGGTAAGGTGGCCCCAGGAGGGAATATGACTCTTCAGTGCCAGACAGAAGATATTTTGACTAAGCATAAAGTGTTCCTTCTACTGAAGGAGGGAACATTGTCACCCACACAGCCTAAGATTTTAGAAAATGACCGTGCAGAGTTCACCCTTCACAATGTGACAGTCAGTGACTCAGGGTACTACAGCTGTGTATACCACCAGGCAGAAGCCCCTTTCTGGGCATCATACCCCAGTAATGATCTTCAAATCTTGGTGACAGGTAAGTTTTTATCTTTAGGAGGACTAAAACTGGTTATTTGTTGGTTCTGCACCCTGGGAGAGTGTTTTATAAGGAAGATGTGCTCCCACAAGACACTGCAGCCAGCAAAGATCGTTTGAGAGGATGGAACTTGGCCAGATCCTGTGGAGTAGTGAAGAGGATCTTTTCAGAGATGGAGGGAGTGTGGGTGATAGAGCATCATTTTTAAGAAGGCTGGGAAAGGGCTTCCCTTTTTTTCTTTTATGTTTTTTTGTTGTTCTTCTTCTCTTTTTTCTTTTCTCTTTTATTTTAATTCCCAGAAATAATAATAAAAAAAGGAGATCCATGATTCCAGGGCACCTGTAAAAAGTCCATGCTCTTTTAGGGCTTGTAGAATGTGCCTTAAAGTTAAAATTATACCTCTGGGGGCTGGCAGAGTGGCCCAAGTGGTAGAGTACTATCTAACTCACATGAGGACCTGAGTTCAAACTCTAGTACCACCAAAAAAAAAAAACCTACATCATGAAATTTCTTATGTGTGATATATGAGTCATTCTTCCATATCCCTTTTTTGCATTTGTAAAGTGGGAATAACAATGTATACATATAAAGGACAAGATTCCTATGACTACCAAATATAAAGTAAGGAATCAGTTATGACTAGCAGTTTTGATAATAGTGTCTGTAGGAGCCAAGATACTTGATTGTAAATGGCAAAAAAAAACTACTTTCAAGTAGTCTAGGAAAAAAATAGGAGGGGACTGAGCAAGGTTGTGGTAATCTCAGCTACTCCGGAGGCAAAGGCAGGAAGATCTCAAGTTCAAGGCACGCCAGGCAATGGTAGTTGTGACACCCTATCTCAGAAACAAAATTTTAAAAACCAAAAGGGCTGGGTTTGTGGTTCAAGTGGTAGAGTTCTTGCCCAGCAAGGGTGAGGATCTGAGTTCAAACTTCAGCACCCTGAAAATAATGAAGAAAGTATACTACTTTGTGAGTTTAAAGGAATAATCAGTTTCCCAGAGTGGAACTGTTGGCATTTTGAGGTGGATCATTCTCTTTGGGGGATGTAAACAATGTCCTGTGCATTGTAGAATGATCAGCAGTGTCCCTGGCTTCTACTGTGTGTCTCCCCTTCCAGCTGTGACAACCCCAAAACATCTACAGACATTATCAAATGCCTGTCTGGGAAGCAAAATCAGGACTGGTTGAGAACCACTAGGAAATGGAGTAGCAAACTTGGACATGCATGTGTGCCATTTAGCTTCCAAACCTAGAACTAGAGAGTGGCACCCTGGCTGAGTTCTGACTTATTGCCAGCCTCAGTCTATCTCAGTCTGTATCTGCTGCCTCTTTCAAACAGGGATCACTGGCCTCAAGATCTGATTTAGAGCTGGGCACAGGGGCTCACGCCTATAATCCCAGCTACTCCGGAGGTGGAGGATTGTGGTTCAAGGCCAAAAAGTTAGTGAGACCACCATTTCAATCAATAAGTGAGGCATGGTGGTATACACCTGTCATCCCAGCTACTCAGGAGGCGTAGGTAGGAGGGTCACACTCTAAGGCCAGCCTGGGCAAATACCTGAAAAATAACCCAAAGAAAAAAACATAAATAAAGGCTGGGGCATGGCTCAAGTGATAGATCATCTGCCTACAAGGCCTTGAGTTCAAACTCTAGTACTGCAAAAAACAAAACAACAACAACAAAAAGATCTGAGTTAACTGACTCATAAATTCTACTGCTGAGTTGGGATTGACCCTCTTCCCAGACACGGTTAACAAACAAACAAGTGCTGGAGGAGACTGAGTTGTGCTGCTTGGTTCCACCTCTGGATCAGTTGTGGGGGTGCTTGCTGCAGGGTTATGCAAGAATAACCAGCTCCATGCAATGTCATAGGGATGCAGCGGCAGGTGGGCACTTCTAAGAGGAGCCAGGGTGCTCTTGCCTGGTGAGGGAAGGTATTTCCTGCCAAGGTGCTGACTAGAGAGTTACAACAGTTTTCACAGTCTCTTGTCTTTTTTTCCTTTGTGTCCCATTTTATTTCAGATAGAACTGACACTCAGGAAACTTTCCTTCCATAAATCAATAAGAGAAATTTGATAAATATCTCTCAAATAGAAATCATAGAGAAATATCAGTCAGGTCTCCACCATCCAGAACTATCATTGTTTACATTTAGTCATGCTTTTTGTCCACAAATGGAGATAAAATTATACTTTTTCTCCCAACACTATTTCCATTCTTGTAGAGCACCTGCCTAGCAAGTTCAAAGCCATGAGTTTAAATCCCATTACTTATCAAAAAAAAGATTATTTCCATTCCCTCTCCAGCAGGACCTTCTAAAGTAGTCCTATCATGTCTCTGTGTATATTATACCTTTCCTACAGAGATATATCATTGTAACATATACAGAGAATTTTAAAAGAAATTCAGCAGCAGCAGACAATAGAGATGTCACACATTTACAATAGCCACATCTAAGAATGTGGCTATTCAACCAGTGAATGGATAAAGAAAATGTGGTATCTATACACAATAGTTTTATTCAGCCATAAAGAAGAGTGAAATTATGCTATGATGGAACTGGGTCAAACTGGAGATCATTGTGTTCAGTGAAATAAGCCAGACTCAGAAAAATATTGCCTATTTTTTCTCATACATGGAACCTAGATTTAAGGGAGAAAAACAAGACATGAAAGTAGAAAGGGGCTGGGCATGGTGGTGGACACCTGTAATCCCAACCGCTCAAGGGGTGGAGAAAGGAAGATCAAGGTCTGAGGCTAGCCCAGAAAAAAGCACAAGACCCTACCTGAAAAGCAAACTAAAACCAGAAGGACTAAAGTGTGGCTTAAAGTGGGTTGAGTGCTTGCCTAGCAAGTGTGAGGCCCTGAGGTCAATCTCCAGTGTTAGTCTTAAAAAGAAGAAAGTAGAAGGGGGACTTCCTGCTGTGGGAGGCACCAGCAGGAAGAAGGGGAAATGAAAAGGTGACGGGGTGAATATGATCCAAGTATATAGTAGGTAAGTATGAAAATCTCATAATGGAACTCATTGTTTTGTACAATTAAATTTTTACAAAGCATCCATCAATGTATAACAATGTGATTGTTATTCTGATTTTTTTTAACTTCAAGAACTCTGGCTTCTAGATGAAGTGGAAATAACGAAGCCTCCTCAGATAAAAGAAGGATCAGGTAAGAGATTAGGAACTTCCTAGGACATGGGGTCCTCCAAGCCTGGGAGGCAGGAGGGGTGAAAGTCACAGTTCTGCCTTCTTCTTGGTGGGGTGTCTTCACTTCCACTCTGAATCTCAACTTCCTCATCTGTAAAATGGGCATGATCAGATAGAAATAAGTAGGAAAAGATGTAGAGAGATTGCCAACATGTGATAAGAAGTCAACCAGTGATAAGAAGTCTGTCAGTGGTGGGATACTCAGGCACAGAACACGCTCCAGTACCACTCACTGCTCTCACTTTGTCTCCTCCCAGGGTCCTCAGGAATCGTCATTGTTGTTGTCTCCATTGTAATCTTCCTCCTCCTCCTCTCAGCCATTCTCATCTACAAATACTCCCAGAGGGGTAAATTGGAGGAAGAGAAGGCTAAACCTTTGGGGAACTAGAGAAATGGAACAAGGAAGCTAACATCACAGTGGTAATACTTTCTTGTCCTTTTTTTAAACCCCAGGATCTGCTCCTGACAACAGATTCAAAAGGTAGAGCTACTTACAGAGCCTTGCCAGCCAATGCTTAACTCCTCCTCCACCACCTCGGATGCCTAAGACCTTCTCTCTTACCTCAACCTCTCATCTACTCCAGACCAGCTGTGACAGCCATCGGGTTCCTCTCTTCCACTTTCCTATTGTCACACTTATATTCCCGCCCAGGATTCCTTCATCACGAATCACATTGCCTCCAACAAGCTCTCCTCCTCAGCAACCAGGGCTATGTACCCGGAGATCCTGGGTTGGGCATGGGAATTGGGGAAAGGTAGAGACATTTTGGTGCAGAGACCTGTGCTGTGACCTAGCTTTACACCCTAGCACACCCTGCCTACTCACAGGGACCTTGACTTCCATCTCCAATCTCCTTCATCTCCAGTGTTTCACTCTTTTTCCCTCAGCTGCTGCTTTTCCAAAGACCCTGAAGAAGTGGTGACAGGTAACCAATGATGGGGATATGCATGTGCATGTTTTGTGTGTATATGTGTTGTGTGTGCACGTGTGTGGTGTTTGTATGTATGTATGCATTGTGTTTTTGAGAGTGTCTAGGTGAGCATGCATGTGTATTATTAGGGCATGTGTGCATGGAGGCATGCACTCATAGCACAAGAATGCATTGTACATGTATGTGGATGAACATTACGAAGGTGTGTATATTGTGTGCGTCTGTGTGCACATGTATGCATGTGTATATCTGTGTTTGTGCATGTTTGTGTGAGTATGCATGTGTGCCCATATATCTAAGTGTTCGTGTATTTCTGCATACACATGTACATCTGTGTATGTGTGTATTTGTGTGTGTGTATACATGTAGCTGTGCATGTGTTCATCTGGGTGTGTGTTTGCACATGCATATGTGAACATCTGTGTGCTTGTACAAGCATGTGTGCATGTTTGATTTTATATGTGTACCTTATGAGCATGCATGTGTCCACACACATACATGTGTGCACATATGAGTATGCTTGTGTATATATTGTGTAGACGGTTGTCCATGTGTACCTATGTGTATGTCTAGACATGTGCATGTGTGTGTGCGTATGCATGTGTCTCTGTGTGCATGTGAGCATGAAGTGTGCATTTGTGCACATGTACATTTGTAAGTATGTGTGTATATACATGTGTGTAAGAATGTAAGAGTTAGTGATGCGTGTCTAAGTATGGCGTGAGTGTGCATGTGAGCTGATACATTCATGTGTGTATGTAGGTGTGAGTATTCCCATAGATAGGTGTGCATATGCATGTGTGCAGGTGTATAGTGTGTGTGTGTGTGTGTGTGTGTGTATGTGTGTGTGTGTGTGTAGACCTGGCCTCTAGCCTGGGGATGAAACAATGGCAGAGTCTCTCCCTCCAGGTGCATCCACAGATGGGAAGAGTTGCACTCCTACCTTGGTGAGTCCCACTTGGACAGCTCCCCTCAGCCTCTTCTCTCTCCAGCTTTCCTCCTCTAGTTATGCCAGTGGTTTGTGCTTCTGCTGCCATCCACTACAGCCTTCCTTCACTCTTTGGGAGAGCTTAGCTTGAAATCTTCTGTACCCTTTCTGGCCAGGGAACCTCAGCCCACAACTCTTTCCTGAGGACATGTCTCCATCTGTAGCTTGGAAAAAAACACCACCTTCTTCCCATTTTTGGGAAGAGTGAGTGGATCAATAGGAACTGGCTAAGTCAGCCATACAGAGTGATCAGCAGGATTCCAGGCATGGCATAGGCTGTCAGGAACTTGTGCTATGAGTCTTATAACTATCTGCGTGACCTCAGGCATGTGGCTTTCCCACTTGAACTTCAACTTCTTCATCTATACGATGGGGATAGTACGCCCCACCTCTTGCTGCTATTGAGAGAATAATGTACGACCCTTTTGGAAGTACCTGCCAGCATGTACACTACACATTCTTCTGCAGTCACCCTGCATTGCCTCTCTCTCTGCCGCTCTCAGTCCTGGCAATCGTGAATCTGCTTCCTGTCACTCTGGGTGTGTCTGTTCTAGACATTTCATATTCACAATACCTATGTTGACAGATGTTTTATGAATTATCTACCACTGTGTAACAAATGATCCCAAAATGTAGTGTTTGAAAGCAATTGCATGTATTATCTCTAAGTGTCTGTGAGTCAGGGATTGGGGTGTGGCACAGCTGGGTTTTCTTGCACTGGGCCTCCTCATGAAACTGCCTAGGATGCTGGCCAGGGATACAGTCCTATTAAGTCTTCACTTGGGAGGGTCACTCTCTGGTTGTTGCCCAAACTCAGTTCTCCAAGGACTGCTGGGTAGAGATGAGCCTCAGTGCCTGGCCACATGGGCCTCCTTGCTGGGCAGCCCAAAACATGGCAGCTGGCTTCATCACAGTCAGTGAGAGAGAGGGAAATTTTAAAATCCGGGAAAGACAGAAGTTTGTCCTTTATCACCTGCTGTTGGTCATGGTGCCCCATCTTTTTTCTATGTTCTGATCATCAGATGAAAGTCCCCAGGTCCAGGTGACACTCAAGAGAAGGACACACAGGGACTTGGATATCAGGAGGCTATTTCAAATGAAATACTTTTGGGACTAAAGGTGGTGGTACACACCTGTAATCCCAGCTACTTAGGAGGTGAAGATGGAAGGATCTCAGTTTGAGACCAGTCCAGGCAAAAAAGTTAGTAAGAACCTATCTCAAAAATCAAGCTGGATGTGGTGATGCAGGCCAGCTCAGACAAAATTACAAGATCCTATCCAAAAAATTAAACCATACATTAGATCAAGGGCAAACACAACAAGGGGATTGGACTTTGAGCACATGATAAAAGTGAGAGCACACAAGGGAGGGGTGAGGATAAGTAAGACACCTAAAAAATTAGCTAGCATTTGTTGCCCTTAATGCAGAGAAGCTAAAGCAGATACCTTAAAAGTAACCAAGGCCAATAGGAAAAGGGGACCAGGAACTAGAGAAAAAGTTAGCTCAAAAAGAATTAACCTAGAAGGTAACACACATGCACAGGAAATTAATGAGTCAAGTCCCTGTATAGCTATCCTTATCTCAACCAGCAAAAACCCTTGTTCCTTCCTATTATTGCTTATACTCTCTCTACAACAAAATTAGAAATAAGGGCAAAATAGTTTCTGCTGGGTATTGAGGGGGTGGGGGGCAGAGGGAGGGGACAGAGTGGGGGGTAAAGGAAGGGGTTGGGTCAGGGGGGAGAAATGACCCAAGCCTTGTATGCACATATGAATAATAAAACAATAAAAAAAATTAAACCATGAAGGGCTGGGGGCGTGGTATGCATCTCAAATGGTAGCTCTGAGTTTTTTAAAAAATCAAATACTCTTGCCTGGATTTAATCCTGTTCTTTGCTTATCTCCAGAATGAAGGGCCCCAGACCTCAGGAACTGAAAATGCCCACAGAATGACTTATTCTGAGTTGAATGCCAGAGCCATAGAAAAGGGAGAGGCCTCTCCCAGTCAGAGCACTCAGCTTCAGGACAGCTGTGTGTACTCAGAGGTAAAGAAGAAACAGAAGAGCTGAAGCAAGACATCCCACAAGGGAGCAGAGTCTGGGACAGGACCTCTTGGGGTGGGGGCTAAGCAATGATTGTGCTTTTATTCAGATGTCCAGTGAAGACTTATTCCCTTCTTTTAAAAATTATTTTTAGTGAGTTATCATTTGAATAGGCTTAAATGCACAAATCTTGGTGCAAATGTCAAACTGTCATCTATTTGTCTGTGCTAGTCAGCTTTTTATTATTATAATGAATACCTGAGATGAGTCAACTTATAAAGACAAAAGGTTTGGGGGGCTACTAGGAGGATGGAAGAGAAGGGAAAATGAAGATGGGTGAGGGGGAATATGAATGAGTAGTAGAGATAGTGGATATTATCAAAGTATATCATGTATAGAAATGTTACTATGTGCAATTTAATATAAGTCAATAAAAAAGAGAGAAAAGGTTTATTTTGGCTCATGGTTTCAGAAGTCAGTCCATGACCAACTGGCCCCATTGTTTTGGCTATATGGTGAGGCAGTACATTGTAGTAGAAGCTCCTGATGAAGCGAAGTTGCTCACCCCACAGCTGGGAGGAAAGAGGGAGAAAGGGGCTAGGGTCACACCATCCTCTTCAAGGGCAGTGCTATCAGGGACTGGAAGACCTCCCACTAGGTCTCACCTCTTAAAGGTGCTACTACCTCTCAATATCACCAAGCTGGGGACCACACTTTCAGCACATGGGCATTTGGGAGACATTCTAGATCCAAACTATAGTTCTCTCTCTCTCTTTCTCTCTCTCTCTCTCTGTAGATAATATCTATCTCTCTATCTTATATTTATCTATCTCTATCTTATATCTATCTTATACCTATGTATCTCTCTATATCTATCTATCTATCTATCTTATATCTATCAATCTCTATCTTATATCTATCTAGCTCTCTATCTTTATCTATCTCTATCCATCCATCTTTCTCTATCTCTTTCTCCCCTATCTATTGTTCTCTCTTCCCTCTAGAATATTTCCAGTGCCCCCAAAAGTTCCCTTGGGACCCTCTCTAGTTCTCCAGTCAATTTCCACTTCCTTTGAGATAACCTTTTCTGCTCTTTACAGAGGATAAGTTTCGCCTGTTCTTCAACTTTGTGTAAGTGTAATAACATACCATATGCTCTTTTGTGTCTAGTTTCTTTCACCCTCCATTGTGTTTTTGAGTTTACCCATGGTGTTGCATGTATTTTGTTCTTGGTACAGCTGGGTATTATTCAATAATATGATTATACATTTGCTTATCATTCTCCCATTGATGACATTTGGGCCGTTTCCATTTTGAATTTTTTATTAATGTATATTAACTGTACAGTCAGGTTTCATTGTGATATTTCCATTCATGCATGTAATGTACTTCTATCATATTGACCCCCCATAACTCTTTCTTATCCCCTCCTTTTTACAGTTTTAAAGGGTTTCATTATGCTACTTTCCTACATGCATACTTTGACCATGTCCACCCCATCACCATCTTTTTACCTCCACTGGTTCACCCACCAACAGTCCCCTTTTACATTCATGTCACATTTTCCAGGTCTAGAGGACTGCCATGAGCATTCATGTGTATGCACACACACCATCCTTTCTCTTGATTTGTACCTGAGAGCGGAATGGCTGGGTCCAAGGACAGGTGGATCCTTAATTTTATTAGTAACATTCAGCTTTCCAAAGGGGTTAGGAAGGAATTTGTGTGCAGTGCCTGCCTTAATTGTCAATCTTATGTTTTCAGCTCCTTTCTCCTATGATTTTTCATAACCTCACACAATCTTGTGTGCTGGAGGGAGGGGCTTTAGTGAGCAATCATTGAGGCAAACAGACCCTGAAATGACCCCAAGTGACCTTCAGTTCCAGTATCCATGCCCCTTGGGAACCTCCCCTGCTTGACTGTGGTGATTTTCTTCTAACCTATGGGATGTCGTGAAAGAGATGGACTGCCACCTCAGCAATTTCTTCCTGAAAGCAGACTCTCTTTACTGCCTTTTTGGACTGTGTGCTTAGGTGAAGTGAGGCCCTGTACTGGAGAAGTCACATGGCAAGGAGTTGGAGCCACCTCAGCCAGCAAGGAGCTGAGGCCTCAGTTCAAGCCTCAAAGAATCAAACCCCACAGGCAATCACATGAGCTTGCGCTGTACAATACAGAGCTTGTGTTGTGGGAGACAAGAAGCCAAAAGAAAAAGAGGTTAAGTGATATTCTTAGTGAATTACCAATCACAGCTTTACCCTGACTTCAGAAATAATCTTTCCATGGTTTCAAATTAACTTTTCAAGTGCAATTTCAAGTTAATATATTTTTATGAAACACAAAACAAGCCAGATATGGCAGCACACACCTGTAATTCTAGCACTGGGAAGGCAGGGGCAGGAGAATCATGAATTTAAGGCTAGCCTGAGCTACATAGAGAAACATATATATGTATATATATATGAGTCAGGTGCAGTGGCTCAAGCCTATAATCCTAGCTACTTGGGATTTGGAGATCAGGAGGATCTGGGTTTGAAGCCAGCTGGGGAAAAAGTTAGCGTGACCCTACGTCAACCAATAAGCCAGGTGTTGTGGTTCCTAGCTAGGCAGAAGGCTAGGCTGGGAGGATACCAGCTAGGAAGATAGGAGTCTGAGACTAGCTTGAGACAAAAATGTGAGACTCCCCCACACACACCTAAAAAATAACTAAAGCAAAAAGAAAGGACTGGGGGTATGGCTCAAGTGGTAGAGCACCTGCCTGTCTAACATGAGGCCCTGAGTTCAAAGTCCAGTACCACCCCCAAAAAAATGACATGAATGTAAAAATGGGACAGTTTTGGGGGAAAACCAGAAAGAGGGACGGAGGGAGATGGTGAATGAGGGGTGAATATGATCAAAGTATACTTCATATGCATGTATGAAAATAGTTTAATGAAACCCATCAAAATTGCTTTTTAAAAAGGGGGATAAGAAAGCAGTAGAGAGAGTGAATTTGGTCGAAGTACATTATATGCATGTATGGAAATATTGCAATGGAACTCCTTTGTAGGGAGGGGTGAGGATAGGTAAGACACCTAAAAAATTAGCTAGCATTTGTTGCCCTTAACGCAGAGAAACTAAAGCAGATACCTTAAAAGCAACTGAGGCCAATAGGAAAAGGGGACCAGGAACTAGAGAAAAGGTTAGATCAAAAAGAATTAACCTAGAAGGTAACACCCAAGCACAGGAAATCAATGCGAGTCAATGCCCTGTATAGCTATCCTTATCTCAACCAGCAAAAACCCTTGTTCCTTCCTGTTATTGCTTATACTCTCTCTACAACAAAATTTGAAATAAGGGCAAAATAGTTTCTGCTGGATATTGGGGGGGAGAGGGAGGGGGCGGAGTGGGTGGTAAGGGAGGGGGTGGGGGCAGGGGGGAGAAATGACCCAAGCCTTGTATGCACATATGAATAATAAAAAAAAGTCCTTTGTACAATTAATATATGCTAATAAAAATAGAATTTAAAAAGAACAGAGACAAAATAAAACAAAAACCTCTACCCCAAAACCAAAACCTCCTATGTTCACTAATTTATCTTATGGTTAAGAAGCCATCTGGGTCCTGTGACTCTTCCTAAGTGATGAGAACCTGCCCATCTCCGTTCCTGCAAGGACCATTTGGCCAATGTCTAGTGACCTTTACGTTTGCCCAAGAATTCCCAAAATTCTCAACAGTGAAGTGCTGGCATCTCCTTAATATGAACACTGCAAGCCCAAATATTAAGCATTTGGTTATCTGCCTGGAAGCTGAAATCTGACTAAGACAGATAAGGGTTTATGTGAGTCAAGTCCCTTAAAATGGGGGTGTGTGTGGAGAGATAACGGAACATGTTGCAATAAGCAACATCAGTGTGTTTCCTGAAAGTTGATGTGATGTGGGAAGTAGGAACTAAAAAACCAGCACAGAGCAGTTCCTGCCCACTTCCTGGGGTGAAAGAGGCTGCAACCTGTCTGTCCTTTCTCCTCTGAAGACTGAACAGCTAAAGAAAAACCCTTGGACAGGCTGGCTGCCACTATGATCCCTAGACTACTTTCCCTGCTCTGTGTCCGTGAGTTAACCGTGCCCTGGGACTGTAGAAAAACCATACAATTGAAGAGATATTTAGATTGGGGATGGAATGAGAAATGACAACTTCACTTTACTGAGTGTATAGGAAGAATTAAAAGTCTTGTGTGGGCATGGCAGAATTAGCTCAAACCTAGGGCTTTACAAACTTTCACTTCCCTTGTCCTGACTTCAGAATTATTGCTGTCTGCCTCTTCCACTGGGATTTTCTGGACTGGTGTTTTTCTCACTATCACTCAGACATGTTGTTTAAGTAACAGTGTAGAAATAGAAACATTAAAAGGTGAAAAACATAAATGAAAATCTAGCTGCCAAAAGGGAGGTAACTCCAAGGCAGATGCAGTGAGAGAGGCAATGTTGGGACAGTCTGTGTACCATTGCTAGCCAAGGTTTTCAATCTGCAAACTGCTAACTCTGGGCAATTGTTTTTGACTGAGATGTATCAGACGCTGCTTCAAATAGACTTTTTTCTTGACATAATGAGAAGTACTATAAGAAATGATGATTGTACAGTAAGCCTGTCTTATGTGTGGATTTATTACATATGGTTTTCACCAGGTACAATCAAAAAATAACAAATGGAAAAATCAAAAGAAACTTCAAAAACAAAAATTTTAAATTCCTGTGAGTATTACACAGCTCAGAGGATGCAGAGAAGCCCTCAATCAGCCCCATGTTACATCAGTAGTATTGAAATTGTTGTGTGATCTGTTGAGTGTTTCTCTGCCCTTCATTTTGTGAAAAAAAATCTGCCTCCCAAAGAGCAAAATGGTGCCCTAAAAGGAAGGCAAAAGTGAATGCGTGTAGTTTAAGTGAGAAAGTGAAAATTTGAGAGTTATTGAAAAGCAGCTATCTTTAGAGGAAGTTGGGTGGTGTTATGGGAAAAACAAATCAAGCAGCCCCAGCACTGTACTGAAGTCTTGCACCCTGAGCATGTCTGGGTGGTCTCCTTGGAACTGGATACCAGCAAATACCAAGGGTCTACTATAGAAACTTTTCTTATGCTGTGATTCAAGACTTTATTCATTCTTTCTTCCACCTAAAATCACTGCATATGACAATAATGGTGAGTTTTCCACTCTTGGAGGATACCATTCTGATCCATTCCCTGCAAGAAAACAATTGCACAAGGAAATTAGATCCACTATTACAGGTTAGGATTTTGATGTGAGTTTGCAAAGTGAACTGACTTGCCTCACATTGCAACACATTTCAGGGAAAGCAAATTTCAACCCAGGACCTTTTAATTCCCAAATCACTATTGTTTCTATGCAGTTGTGATGATCAATTAAGAAGGCACTCATATAGGATCTTTGGTGTGGAAGCACCCTGGGGGTGTTAGAAGAGACTGAGGATTGGGAAAACCTGAGGAGGCAAAAGCAGTTCAGAATGTCCCCAGTAAAGGAGTCATAATGCAATTCAGCATGAATATTTTCAGAAATAAATAAAATTTAATATACACACACAAAAAAAATCATTGAGAAGGCTGAGTTGCCTTGGCATGGGGCTTCACACTTGGGTTTTTCCTATTATCATGATTGACCTCAAAACTTTAAGTTACTCCATCAAGTTTTCCTTGTATCAGGTGTCTATCTTGGGAAGAGACTTTTAACTGTGTTTTGCGGAAAACTGTAGGGATATAGCAAAAACTGCAAGTGTTCTAGGTCCTCCAGTCCTGCATGCATCAGTTTGAGGTCTTAATAAACACATGTCAGTATTTAGGACTCAATTTCTCCATCTTTCAGGGTTAGCTTCGGAGTTAGGTTCCTGTAGGCATGTTGCCATGCACACTTAGTGCTGAACGATGATGCTTTTAATGTTCATGCTTCCTTCTCTGACTTGGTTGGGGATATATTCCATCAGCCAGTACTTCTAAGATCTTCCCTAAATGTATGCATGGAACTTCATTCCTTTTTTATGACCAAATAGTATCCCATCACTTACGGAGTGGCACATAGCTGTATAGACACAGATGTAGATAGGATGAGGCTTACTCAAAGGAAATGGTTTATATATTATAGAGTTTGAGACATCCCATGATGTGACAGCTGCAAGCTGGAGACCCAGAAAAGTCTTTACAGTGATATAAATTCCAGTATAGGATCAGAAGACCATGGAGGTCTCAGCTCAGGCAGCCAGGCCGAGACGGAACCCAATCTTCCTCTACCTGTTGTTCTGGCCCTCAACAGAACACCCACCCACTTCCCTTAGGGGTGAGGGACAATCTGCTTTATTTGGCTCACAGTTCACATGCTCATCTGTAGAAACACCGCACAAACACACCCAGAATCAATGTTGAACAAGATATCTGGGCATCTTGTCGTCTAGTCAAGTTGACACTTAGTATTAACAGAGTCCCCAATAAGAACTCTGTTCTCATTAACCAGACTCCTTCCCTTTCCCTTTCTCTATTCTACTTTCTGTACTATAAACTTGCTTACTGTAGCACCTTGTATGAATGAAATCATATGCTATCTGGCCTTTTGTGTCCGGCTTACCCATCCATGGTGACACATGTGTCAGAATTTTTTGATATTTTTTTATGGCAGACTAACATCCCATTGTGTGGATGGATGTGCCACATTTTTACTTGATGAGCACTTGGGTCATTTCCACCTTTTTTTGCTAATGATTACTTCTCTTCCAAAATATTATATGCCATTTTTTTTGTCTCTTGTATGTAACTTTAGCACCAAACCTGGTAAATTCCTCCTTTTTTTAAACTAAGACACAAAACTGCTTACTGTGTACAGAGGAAGAAGAAGAAACCTCTTGGAAACACAGGTCTGATAGACCTAATTTGAATTAGAACAATCTCTTTGTTATGTTCATAAACAGGCTTGGTATTAATTCTCGAAAATTTTTATTACCATAAATTAATTCTCCAAAAGGGTTTCATTGTGATATTTATAACATGCATATAATGCACTTTGGTCAAATTCACCCCATCTATATTACTTTTTGTACACCCCTCTCCCCTTCTTTTTAATAGTGTTTAGTGGTTTCATTGTGCTATTTTCATACATATATGTAATGTACTTCTATCATATTAGCCCCATCACCTTCTTTCTCCCCCTCCCCCTGCCAACTGGTTTGCCCCCAAATAATCCACCTTTTGCAATCATGTCATTTTGGTTTTAGGTCTAGATTCTGCATATGGTATTTGTCTTTCTGAACTTGCCTTATCTTGTTCAACATGATGATCTCTAGTTCCATCCATTTTCCTGCAAATGACATAATTTTAAAGTAATCTCAGCACTCTAACAAAAGTGTATCAACCACATGTGGGTATTTATGACAAGACATCTGTAAGATATGGTCAGATGTGTCCAAAATTGTTTTCTCTTGGAGCCCTCTTTCTCCATCATTTGGGGATGAATTTCTATGTTGCAGTCATGAGGAGTGTTTGCCAGGGTCACCTAGACTCGTGGCTCTCCACCTTGAAAGCACATGCATGCCACCTGGGTCACATTGAAAAGTACTGATGCCTGAGCCCCAACCAAAAGGATTCAGACTCACCTTTGGGGGTCGGTTCTGTGCATTGGACCTTTTACCAGCTTCCTGGAGAATCCCAGTGTGTAGCAAAGAGTAAGAAACATTCTACAAAGGCAGCTATATGTGATGTTGTGGGAAATATACTTTTTCTCCTTCATGGAACATCAACTTGGACTTTTTGATGCTTGCTACAGGACACAAAGCAACAAACTTTGTCTTGATTAAAATATTAAAGCATGAAAAGATAATGGTAAATATTGGATCAGAAGCCTTTCAGATTAAAAGTTAAAGTTGAGGCAAGGTGTAGTGGTGTATACCTGTAATCCCAACACTGGGAAAGCTGAGGCAGGAGGGTTGCAAGTTTAAAGCCAGCCAGGACTACATAGCAAGACTCTGTCTCAAAAAAAAAATCAAAAGAAACAACCAAAAAAAGTTAAAGTTGAGTCAACTAGCCTGTCTCATAGTTTTTTCCAGCTATGAGCCAAATTCTCATCCCCAGACAATGAATACTGGTAATTTTTTCATATGTGGAAGCTAGACCTATAAGTTAAATGTATATAAATATAGATGCATATATTATCATATATATACACATATATATGCATATTCAGCTATATGTGCATATATATGAGAGAACAAAGTTGTATTAGTGAGCCTGCCTGAGGGGACTTCAGGAGATGGGAAAGGAAAAGAAAATGTTAGAGAATGAAAAATATTGAAATAACCCATCTACATATGAACATATTATACTCACCATAAGCTGTTGAATATTAGGTGAGCATGGTGATAGAGAAAAACATAAGTAACGGAGGGTTAATTTGATTAAAGCATGATGTATACAGGTTTGAAGTACCAAGGCAAAAACCCCTTGGATTATCAAGGGGTTAAAAAAATGAAGGGCAGGAGGGTAAAATAAACTTTTTCCAGGGATGGGTAACAGTGGGAGGGTGGAGGACACAGGAAAGGGAGAATGAAGGAGACTATGCTGGATGTACTTTGTACTCCTATGTGAAAATAGAAAAATGAAACCTGTTGAAATTGTTCTAAGAAGAGGGGAGTGAGGAAGAGGGAGATTATGGAGGACGTAAATCTAACTTAGATGTATTATAAAAACATATGTCAATATCACAATGTACCCTCCCTGTACAACTGTTATATGCTAATAAAAATTTTTAATGAATATTGGTGATTTTGTTGAGGTATTAGAAGTTGAGGTGCCCTGGTGGCAGAAAGATGAAGATTTATGATAAGGTTGCATTTTTCCACATCCTTGAAAAATCTGAGTGCCTTAGTCTGTTTTGTGGTATTGTAAACAAAATATCCTGAAACTTCATCCTTTATAAAGAAATGAAGTTTATTTGGCTTATGTCCTAGTCACCTTTCTATTATTGTGACCAAATAACTGAAATAATCTACTTAAGAGTTCCTTCAGTTTGTATATTTTGGAATAGTTTGAGGAGTGTTGGTCTTAGTTCTTCTTTCAAGATCTGGTAGAATTCAGCAGTGAATCCACCCTGGTTTGGGGCTTTTCTTCTTTGGAAGATTCTTTACTACTGTTTCAACTTCATTAACTCATTATAGGTTTATTTGAGTTATTAATATCATATTGGCTCAGTGTTGGTGGTTGTACGTGTCAAGGAATTTATCCATTTCTTCTTGATTTTCCAGTTTGTTGGAGTGTAAGTTTTTAAAATATTTCCTAATGAACTTTGAATGTCATCAGTATCTGTTGTAAGATCCCCTTTTTCATCTCTGATTTTATTCGGTCTTCTCCCTTCTTCTTTTGGGTAGTTTGGCTAAAGGTTTTTCAATCTTGTTTATCTTTTCAAAGAACCAGCTCTTTGTTTCACTGATTTGTTGTATTGTTCTTTTGGTCTCCATTTCATTAATTTCTGCCCTAATTTTTATTATTTCTTTCCATCTACTGGATATTGAATTGATTTGCTATTGTTTTTCTAATTGCTTGAAGTGTATTAAGTTGTTCATTTGAAACCTCTTCTATTTTCTGATGTAGACATTCATGGCTACAAACTTTCTGCTTAGCATCCACAGCCTTTGCTGTGTCCCTCAGGTGCTGGCAGGTGATAGTTTCATTTGCATTTGAATACAGAAATTTTTTAAACTTTCCTAATTTCTTCAGTGACCCACTAATCATTCAAAAGTTTGTGATTTAATCTCCATGTGCTTGAATAGTTTTGTTAGTCTACGGCCATACTGCTCTACGCATGCCCGAGCTCATCTGAATAGTTTTGTTAGTTTTCCTTGCTACTGATTTCTAGATTTATTCCATTAGGATATAGGAAATTTTTTGGATTTTTTTTTTTTTTTGGTATTTGTTGAGACTTTGCCTCAGGTCCATAGCAGCACAGCACATCCTGGCAAGCTGTGCTGTGCTTCAAGCTGTCCTATGCTTCTTGCCCCTGGCTAGCTCAGGGGCAAGAAGCATAGCTTGACAGGCGCCTGCCTGTCGAGCGCAAAACCCCACGTTCAATCCCTGGTACTGCCAAAAACCAAAAACAAAACAGAAAGAGAGAAGCTGGCTCAGCGTGGCCAGAAAACAGAGAGGCAGGAAGTAGCTGACTTCCTAATATCCTTTTCGAGGACACCCCTCCAATGCCCTAACTCCTTAAATGTTCCTCCACCTCCCAATAGCATGACAGGCTGGCAAGCAAGCTTTTATCACATGGATCTGTAGAGACTCTCCAGATCCAAATCAGAGCAAACGATTCTGATGGTGGGGAAGCCCAAACAGCATGGTGCTGAGTTTTTGAGGGTCTCCATGGCAGAGAAAAGGAAAGAGAAGCAGAAGGGGCATGTGTGCTCACAAGGAAGCCAGAGGGTGGAGTGGGGCCAGGCTCATTCTTTTCATTTACTTATTGTTGTGGTACTTTCTGTTTAGCCCATGGTGGCCCGGGACTAACAATTCTCCTGCCTTAGTCTCCTGAACAATGGGATTACAGGTGTGCTCCACCTCAGGCTCACAGTTTGATCACATTCTGCTCTTGTGGGACTAACCTGTCCTGTGGGAACTACATTAATCCCTTCAGAACTCAGTGCTCAGTGATCTGATCATGTTTCTAACAGTCCTCAACACAGCATATGAATCTTTAGGGAATACACTCAAATCATATCCAAACCACAGGCCTGGGCATGTCACCAGCCAGTCAACATGCGTATCTTTTAAAGACGATAGGTTTGGGGCTGCAGGTGTGGCTCAAGTGGTAGCACACTTGCCTAGCAAGCTCAAGGCCCTGAGTTCAATCCCCAATATGGCCAAAAATGAAAGAAAGAAAGAAAAAAGAAGAATAAGATAGTTTTTTCTTTCTCCCTCTCTCTTTATTAGTGTACATTAATTGTACAAAGTGTTTTGTTGTGTTATTCCCATACAATTCATTTGTTAGTGATCTACTCTGCCAGGGCCAGAGAAGACACAAGAGTCATCACAGAGTCCCTGTCTTACAGGTGCTCACAGTCATGATATCCTTCTTCTCCTATGAAATGAGCTACAGATACTTCTATAAACTGCTTTCATTCCTTAAGCACAGCCTCCTGTTTCTGTATTATGGATGCAGGATCTACTCATCTTACCACATCCAGTGTTAGAATTCTCTTAGTATTTTCTTCTGTTGTCTGACATACTGAGGTCTGACCTCAGTAGGTGCTGTATGCTCTACTTTATAAGTTCTCTTTTATGCTATTGAGACTTTCCATAGAGTGTGACCACAGTACAGTTAAAATTAACGTGTGTTTGGTCAGTAAGGTGTCACAGAGCGACCTTTCTCCTGTGGAAGTATAGGAGGCTTTGCCTACAGGGAACACTACTGTTGATGAATTTAGTGATTATCTTTTATACTTTCTCTATTAAACATGGAGTTGTTTCCTATGTGATGTTTAGTATGTTGTATACTATTTTTTTAGTGGTACTGAGGGGTTGAAATCAGGGCCTCATGTTTGTTAGGCAGGAACTCTACCACTTGAATCATTCCACCAGCCCTTTTTGCATTGATTATTATTATTATATTTTTTGGGTGATACTTGGGTTTGAACTCAGGGTCTCATGCTTGCTAGGTAGGTGTTCTACCACTTGAACAGCTCCACCAGCCAAATCCTTTTTTTTTTTTTTCTTTTGCAGTACCTGAGTTTGAACTCAGGGAATCATGCTTACAAGACAGGAACGCTTGAAAGTGTTGGAGCCACTCCACCAGCCTTGCATTAGTTATTTTTGAGATGAGGTCTCACTTTCTGCCCAGGCCAGCCTGAACTATGACCCTCCATAGGGGAAGCATTTGTGCTTCCCCATGTAGCTGGGATAATAGGTGCATGCCACCATGCCTAGCTTTTTATTGGTTAAGATGAGCTCTTATGAACATTTTCCCCCAGGCTGGCCTTGAACCCAAATCCTCTTAATCTCTGACTTCCAAGTGGCTAGGATTACAGGCTGGAGCTGCTGCATCTGGTCCTTAATCTTTTAAAATAATAATTATTTATTTTTAATGGGCATATATGGTAATTGTACTTCTTTGTTGGGTACAATGTGATGTTTCAGTTAATGTATACATTGCATAATAATCAGATCAGGGTAATTTGCATAATAATCACCTTAAGCATTAATCATTTGTGGTGAGAAATCTGAAATCCTCTCTTCTAGCTACTTTGAAATGTCCAGTGCATCATGGCTAGCTTTGTTCACTCTCCTGTGCAATAGAACACCAGACTTATTACTCCAGTCAGCTATAATGTACCTGTGGGCAAACATCCCCTCTTCTAGACCTCCCCTACCCCTAACTTTTTCCAGCCTCTGGTAACCCCCAATTCTGTTATATTTGAAGGATTTAATCTATACTCCAGTCTCAAACCATATTAATAATGGTTGTTTCAAGTTTTATTTTGTTGTCTCTCGTGGCCTTATCGTTTGGTTAAGAATCCAAGCGCTATATTGAATAAAAGTAGAGAGATATCATCACTTGTCACAATCTTAAACTTCAGAAGAAATGCTCTCACTTTTTCCCATTCAGGACAACGTTGGCTACAGGCTTATCATATGTAACCTTTATTATGTTGTATATTCCTTCTAGTCCTGGTTTCTTCCATGCTTTTATCATGAAAGAATATTGAATTTTGTTGAAAGCTTTTTCAGCATCTGTTGAGAGGATCATGTGGTTTTTGTCCTTTATTCTGTTGATGTGCTGTAATACCTTTATTAATTTTCATACATTGAACAATCCTTGCATTCGTGGAATGAAACCAATTTGATCATGGTGTATGCTCTTTTTAATGTGTTGTTGAATTCTGTTTGCAATTATTTTATCAAGAATTTTTTTTTGCCAGGCACCAGTGGCTCATGTCTGTAATCTTAGCCACTTAGGAGGCAAAGATCAGGAGGACTGCAGTTCAAACCAGCCCTGGGCAAATAGTTCATGAGATACCCTATGTCAACAATACTCAACACAAAAAAAAAGGCTGGCAGAGTGACTCAAGGAGTAGAGCCTGCATAGCAAACATGAAGTACCAACAAAAAAATTTTTTTAAGAATCTTTGTGTCTATGTTCATGAAGGAAATTTCTTGTGTGTGTGTGTGTGTGTGTGTTATTTGGATTTGTCATCAGGGTGATACTGGCTTCATGGAATGAGTTTGGTAAAGTAACTTCCCATTCTTTTATGGAATCATCTAAGTAGTATTGGTGTTAGCTCTGCCTTCAGGGTCTGGTAGAATTCAGCAGTGGATCCATCCGGTCCTGAGCTCTTCTTTCTTGGGAGACTCTATTACTGCTTCAATTTCATTGCTTGCTATTTATCTGGTTAGGTGGTTTTTATCTTCCAGTTCAGTTTTGATAGGTCATATTCATCTACAAGCAGGAAGACGTTAGGGTTTCTGAGAAAGAATGGAGTAGCTGGGTAAAGCTGAAGTCACATTGCAGGATGGAGAACATGTGAACTTTTTTTTTTTGCTGTACTAGGGATAGAACCTAGGGCCTCCTGTATGCTAGTCAAACACTTAACCACTGAGCTACATCCCCAGCTCAAATGTGAACTCCTCATGTGTGAACCCAGGTCTAAGCTCAACAGAAGGCTCTAGGACACCCCTCCGTATCATGGAGGTGACAAGATGACTCCAGATAGGCATTTGTACCTCATGGGTGTTTCCTTTGCAGGGCTGTGTGTTGGCCAAGAAGACATAAGTGGAGATGGTGAGTGACTGTTCAGCCAAACTCTCTTTAATCCTTCATCCCAATTTCCCTTCCCTTTTTTCAAATAGGCTTCCTGGGAGCAGGTGAGTGTGTCTGACCCAGCCCTGATGCCTGCTTTCTTGCAGGGTCCCTTCCCAAGCCCAGCCTCAGTGCCTGGCCCAGCTCAGTGGTTCCTACCAGGAACAACGTGACCCTGCAATGTATGAGTTCAACCCCAGGTGCGTACTTTGTCCTTAGAAAGGAAGAGGCTATTTTGGAGTCCAGGCCTTCCAGGCTCTCAATTGAGTTGACTGAGGGAGCAGCCAAGTTTCATCTCATTGAGCTATGGCCCAGTGATGCTGGACACTACACCTGTGAATACTACAGAAAAGGGTTTCCAAACACAACGTCACAGCCCAGCAACGTCCTTCTACTGTTGGTCACAGGTGAGGAGAGACTGCCTCAGAGTGACCTATGGTGATCTTCAGATGGGGGTTGAGAGAGTGACGAGATGAGGAGTGGCAGGGAAAAAGGGGTCTCATCCACAGAGAGTTGGAGAGGGAATGGGTGACAGGGACAGAAATGGATACCTTGGTTTTATCCACACTTGTAGAAGGGAAAATCTCTGTCCTGGAGTCAGAATAGAAAGAGGGAGAGATCAAGCATGATGAGACTTCCCTACCTAGGGAACAAGGGAGAGTGGGGGGACCAAGGCTTTCCCATTGACCTCAGAGCCTTCTTCTCTGGCAGGATATTTATCTAAACCTTCCCTCCTAGCCCACCAAAGGGGTAAGGTAACCACAGGAGGGAATGTGACTCTGCAGTGCAAGAAGGAAGACAATGGGGTGATGCCTTTGATGTTCATTCTACTGAAGACAGGAGTTCCATCACCCATACAGTTTCGGAGTCCATCAGGGACAGTGTCAGACTTCACCTTTCATAATGTGACAGCCAAAGACTCAGGAAACTACAGCTGTGTGTACTACCGGTCAAAAGCTCCTTTCTGGGCCTCGGTCCCCAGTAATTCTCTTGAGATCTTGGTGACAGGTAAGGTTTTGCATACTTTTACAGATGCGTTTTGTTATTCTGAGTCTGGTTCTATACCATGGATAATAAATTATCTATTATTCTTCGAAATTAAGAATCTTACCATGGTGAGAACTCCTACCACTCCCTACATCTCTCTCTCTCTCTCTCTCTCTCTCTCTCTCTCTCTCTCTCTCTCTCCCTCTCTTTCTCCCTGGCAGTACTGGGGTTTGAACTCAGGACCTTGCACTTTCTAAGCAGAAACACTACCACTTGAACCACACCCTCACCCCTTTTTTGCTTTAGTTATTTTTCAAGTAGGATCTCATTTTGCAGAGAGCTGGCCTCAGATAGAGATCCTCTTCCTACCTATGCCTTCCTCATAACTGGGATCACAGGTGTGAGCCATGATGCCAACTTTATTGATTGAGATTCAGATTTCACTAACTTTTTGCCTGGGCTGGCCTCAAACCACCATCCTCCCAATCTCTGTCTTCCAAGTAACTATGATTACAGGCATGAGCCATTGTACACAACCTCCCTGCATCTCTTAATGTCTTGATTTTTTTCTTGTGATAAGTGATCATTTTTTCCTTAACTCTTTCTGTTCTCAAGATGAGGTTTTCCACAGCCTCCTGTTTCTCTGCTGTTACTCTTCTAGAGGGTAATCTTGAGTATTTCCTCATGGCCACCATGGTTACTGTTAGAATTCTCCTAAAGTTATTTTCTGCTTCCTGCCACAATGCTACCTCACTAGGTGCCTCTACTTTGTAGAGTCTCTTTTATACTGCTGAGACTTTCCCCATGGAATAGTTAGAAACAAAGGTCTATATGGTCAGTGTGACTGATGGAGAGGGTTTCTCTGGCATGGTAGAGATATTACCTGTTTCTCGCCATGGACTTAGCCCACAAACATCACAGCTGCTGAGGAATTTAGAGATGAGCCTTTCATTCTCTGTAATAGACTGATGCCAATGCTGGCTTCTCTCTGAACCAGGGCCAATCCCAAGCTACAGTTCTTCTTGAGATATACAGTGATCCAGGTTCTCAGCTATTAGGCTCAAACTCTGCCAAACTCACTGCCTGTGTGGCATGTCATGGTGCAAGGAGTTGTGCTGACCTGTTACCGATGTCTGTGCTCTGTGGGACTACTTTTGTCTTATGTGTTCCACCTAAGTATGGAGGGAGGAGGGAGAAAGGAAGGGTAGGAAGTTGGAAATGAGATAGAGGGCAAATAAGTAAAGGGAGAGAACTGAGACGGAGTGTCTACAAAGGGAAGAAGACAAAACAACATTCAGTACAACGCTCATAAAATTCTACATTTTGTCTTCGAGAGTTAAAATTTTACTCACAATGACCCAAGCTTTGTATGCACATATGAATAATAAAAGAAAAAAAAAGACAAAAATTTTACTCAGAGTGTAGCTAGCCGCTGTCCAGGATCTGATTGAGTAGATCCATTTGAGAAGGGAGACTCTTTATGGCCAGTACTGACTCCCTCCTCTCTTTTAGGGTCTCCAAGTGCCATGGTGGAAGGTTACACCAAGTGTAACCTCATCCGGCTGGGAATGGCTGCTGTGATTATGGTCATTATAGGGGTCATCCTGGTTGAAGCCTGGCACAGCCAGAGGAAGTCTCCAGGTGAACCCAGGTAAAATAACTTAGTTCTTCATTTTCCATATGCTGTGGTGGAATTATGAGTTTCTTCCCGGGTGACTGAAGTATAGTGGACAAATAAAAACTGATTATGACCCAGGTTCTTGTTGTTCATGCCTGTAATCTTAGCTACTTGGGAGGCTGAGATTAGGAGGATTGCAGTTTGAAGGCAGCAAAGGCAAAAAAAATTTCATGAGACCCCCATCTCAATGGAGAAAGCTGGGTGTGGTGGCACACACTTGTCATCCCAGCTACTGCAGGAAGTGTAAATAGGAGGACTGCAGACCACGCCAGCCTGGGAAAAAGTGAGACCCTATCTTAAAAGTAACCAGAGCAAAAAGAGATGGAAGTGTAGCCTGCCTTGAAAGCATGAAGCACTGAGCTCAAACCCCAGAAACTGGATACATTTAGTATGTACAATGTGAGGTTTGTATACATTTAATTTTTGTCAATTATACCTCAACCTGGGGAAAAAAGTAATTAATTGTGAAATGATCACCACAATGCAGCCAATTAATGAAGTATTTAAGGCAAAAGTAAAGAACAATCAATATGAAACTCAATCTAGGGGGAAAAAAAGCAATAGAAACACAGTGAACACCTCTCTATCATAACCATAATGTAAACAGACTTAACCCTCCAAACAAAAGACACAGACACAGACCATGATTGGATCAAAAGTAAGGTGCAACAATCTGTTGTCTACAAGAAACACACCTCAAAACAGCAACTATTATCAATGGTGCCTTCCAAACCCTGAGATGGGGAGGATGGAAAGTGGGGAGGGGCTCCCTAGTTTAGAACCCATGTTTGTAGGCCAAGAGAACTAATATTCCTTCTCTAGACTCAAGTCCATCTCTTTCTCCCCATAGGCCTCACAGCGCCCCAGGAGAATGGTGAATCCTCAGTCATGTTGGACTTGCTCATCCACCCACAGCTCTTTGAGAACTATCCAGGCCTGGAATCCCTGCTCACTGGCTCCTCCCATAGGACAGAGGTCAGGGTTGGGCACAGACACACATTGAACACATCACTATTTTTATAATTATTATAATAAAATTATAATATTCCTCTTCCTCACTGTTAGGACATGCCACCTGGACCATAAACGAAAGCCCATGTATTTATGGAACTATTTCTGTGTTTTGTTTCGGTTTGGTTTTGGTGGCAGTAGGATTTGAATTTAGGGTCTCACACTTGCTAGGCAACTACTCTACCACTTCAGCCACATCTCCAGGTCTTCCTGCCTCTTTATGCTATTTTTCGGGTAGGGCCTAGCTTTTTTTGCCTGGGCCAACCTCAGACCACAATCCTTTCACCCATGTCTCCCACATATTTGGGATTACACCACCATACTCAGATTGTTTGTTGAGATGGCATCTCCAACTTTTTGCCTGAGCTAGCCTCAAACTGCAATCCTACTGATTCCACCTTCTAAGGGGCTGGGATTACATGCCTGTAACCCCAGCTACAAGTTCTTTATTATAAATTTCACCAGTGTGGCTTTATTTTTCATTTCCTTCTCCTCCTTCTCCTTCTCTTTCTCCTTCTCCTTCTCCTCTTCCTCCTCCTCCTCCTCCTCTTCCTCCTCCTCCTCCACATGCTAAACAAATGCTCTACCACTAAGCTATATTCTTGGCCTCTTATTTTGCATTTTCTTTTTACTTTTTCTTTCTTTTGGTGGTGGTACTATGCCTCATGTTTGCTAGGCGGGTACTCTACCACTTAAGACATACCCTCAGCCCTCATTTATTTTCTTAAGAATTTATGTCTCTGAATATCTTCTCAGGTACTGTTGACTATATATAATAAACAAATTATATATACATGCATTATTATATGTATCTCTACAATATAAATTTATATTCTTAAATTGGTGATTGAATACTTTGTTTATATTTTTGTTGTTTTTTTTTTCTTTTTGAGACAAGGTCTCACTATGTAGCCCAGGCTGACCTCCAACTTTCGATCTTCCTGCCTCAGCCTCCCAAGTCCTGGGATTACAGCTGTATGCCACAACACTTGGCCTTTTGTGTATTTTTTTAGTTGGTTGTTTATCTTCTTAATTTTGAGTTCTAAGATTATAAAGTCTGGATAAAAGTCCATTAGCAGACATGTGCCTTACAAATATTGATTGTTTTCTGTTTTTTTTTTTTTTTTGGTACTGGTGCTTGAACTCAGGGCCTACACCTTGAGCTACTCTACCAGCCCATTTTTGTGATGGGTTTTTTTGAGATATGGTCTCGTGGACTATTTGCCCAAGCTGGCTTCAAACCATGATCCTCCTGATCTCTGCCTCCTGAGTAGCTAGGATTACAGGCATAAGCCACTGGTGCTCAACTTTGTTGTCATTTCTTTAGCATCATTCTAAAAGTGAAATTTTTAAACTTTGGTGAAACCAACAAATCAGTAATGCTCTTACTTTTATGGTGAAAGCTTTTGTATTCTACCTAAGAAATTATTGTGCAAGCCATAATAGTGAGGATTTTCATCCTGGTTTTTGTCTTTAGTTTTTTAGTTTCATAGGCTCTACCTTGCGTATTTAGGTTATGTCATTGACATACAATGTCCAATTGTTCCAGGACCATTTCTTGAAAAAATTATTCCTTTCCCATGCAATTATCTTGGTATTATTGTTTGTAACTCAGTTTGATAGACCAAGCATAGTGATGGTCACCTGAGGTCCCCAGCTACTGAGAACCTGAGGCAGGAGGATTGTATTTCAAGGCCAGCTGGGGCAACAAGACCCTGCCTCAAAAAAGAGAAAGGAGCATCAATTTTTTACAAATAATAGGTCAGTTTCAGAATTTTCTAAGTTATTGCATTGATCTATGTCTACATTACATTGTATTGATTATTATAGTTTTAATAAGTCTTGATAACAAAGAGTATTGGTTTTTTGAGTGTTTAAAACTCATTCTAACAAGAGTAATAGGATTTGATCAAAGAACACTGTATGTATGCATGGAAATATCACAATGAAACCCTTTTATACAATCAATATATCTAATAAAATTATTCTGGTTCTTTAACTTCATTTAAATGTCCATATAAATTTCAGATTGTCTTTATAAGTTTCTACCAAAAGAGCTGTTATCACCTTTCTTAGAGCTCTGGATACAATCAAGTTCTGACTATAATATAAATAATTCACATAAATGTGAGTTTGTCACTTCTCCTGGTTTCCTTTCATGGTGAGGGCTTC